TATATCTCTATATAAATATATTTTGTAAAACAAATTTCAACGGTTGAAATCAACTGTCAGCAGTTTAGGTTTCCATCAGAGAGTGCATCCCTGATCATTCACTTTGTCTGACAAAGGGGCTGATCCTGTCACTATGATCAGCCACTCAGATGAATTCTCGGACTGTCCCAACATACCAAAGTTTTGACCCCCCTCTAAGGATCTCACTAATTGGCATATCAAAGACAGCCCAATCCGACAACTAGTGTAGTATCATAATCGAGGGTAGGGGTCAGGTGTAATATTCTAGTTTTGCTCATCTATCTCCAAGGACCAGGGCAATACTGGAATTTTGGTCCAGTTCAGGGTTTCAAGAAACCCACACTACATGTACCTCCGGTCTCACCTTGGCAGGTAAGACAATTCACCCCAACCAACTTGGCGGCACATCAATGTCAGCCTTGGCAGGATAAATCTCCCCAGATCTATCCAAAGGCTGTGAAAATTCTAAATTAACACGAGTCTCATATGTGTACAATTTAAGGATATTATACAGAAATACACCATAATAACATGAATCAAATATGTATTTTATTCATTTACATTAAATGTCATAATATACATAATTTTTATTGGAGCTAAGGGCATAAACTGTCTACAAGAGTTTTACTTGGCACTGGATCCACATGTTTATTAGAGTATTGCCTCGAGATCCTTGGCTGGGCCTGTTCTGTTGTATCAAAAGCCTAATTGAAATGTCTGTAGACTTCACTCAATTTTCTAAATTTCTATCTACTTGCTTTTTGCTTGTACACAGATTACATGGTTCAAATGTGGAGGAATGGCAGTTGGGGTCAGTTGGGCCCATGTCCTCGGGGATGCATTCTCAGCTTCAAATTTCATCAATATGTGGGGCCAAGTCCTGGCGGGTAACAAGCCCGAGCTTCCACCCTATGTATCCAGATTAGAAAAATCCGAAAAGCCACCATCACTTGCCCAAGAGCCACTTTCAGTGAAACGGGTCGACCCGGTCGGAGACAATTGGGTAGTTCCTGGAAACTGCAAAATGGAGATGCTATCTTTCCGCCTAGCTGCCACACAGTTAGATGGTTTACAGTCAAGGGTGTCGGGTCAAAAGCAGAAGAATGATCAAGCTCCACTGTTTGAATGCATCTGTGCTGTAATCTGGCAATCTTTAGCGAAGATTAGAGAAGGACCCGAACCCAGAATTGTGACCATTTGCAGAAAGGAGCCTCATAATAGAGGGCGCCTGACTCTGAGCAATAACCAGATGATAAGCGTGGCCAAGGCTGATTTCTCTGTTGTGGAAGCCAAGCCCAAGGACTTGGTGGAATTGATTGCAAAACCATCTGTCAATGAGAACACCCAGATTGAAAAATTGGTGAAGAAAGATCAAGGGCTGATGGATTTTGTGTTCTATGGCGCCAACCTGACGTTTGTGGATCTGGGAGGGAGTGATCTTTACGGGTTGGAGTTGAATAAAACAAAACCCGTTTTTGTGAATTATACTGTGGATGGAGTGGGAGACGAAGGGGTCATTTTTGTGCTTCCAGAGGCAAAAGTTGCCGGAGAAGATGGTCGCGGAGGCCAGACTGTGACGTTGATTTTGCCGGAGAATCAGCTCATGAAGCTGAAGGATGAGCTCAAAAGAGAATGGTCCATTAAATGATAAAGATGGAAGAATTGCTTGTATTAGGAACTAGACTTTCAGATCCTTGTTTGCTTATGTATGTCTGCTTATATATGTTGATCTTTTAGGCATAATTTGCTAAATGGTCCACTGCTTTTGAAGCTTAACATTTTAAAATGAAGTGCCCAACATGATGTCTTAATGTGTTATTGATGGGGTTTGACAAAATTTAAAACTAAACTCTAGTATCTGAAAAGCAGAATAAAAAAAAAATTCTTTATACAACTCTAATGTTTGAAAATAATAAATATATATGCTTCTGCCACTTCTTACCAAATCAAACCTGTTATCATTTTTCAGAAATATAGTTTGAACATAAACACAAACAAAATGTAAACTCTAAACTATCACACCTTGTTTCAGTATTCTACCTTTACGATAGATAATGTGGATTATTGTGTTTTACCCAAACAGAGAATGGATATATGGTGGGGTTACGGGGCTGCATTTATTCCTTTAAAGCCTAAGCCTGGTTGCTTTATTAGGTAATTCCATTTGCATTAGTGCAAAAGTATGGGAGTGCAAATGATGGAGTATAAGTTCAAATAAATTTTTGTTTCAACTTTTACCTCAATTTATTTGATTGCAGTGCAGTGCAGATAAAGTAAAATAAAACCCATAGCAGATATGAAGCATCGAAAGTTTCATTCTTCGTATTTGTACAGCCATACATTTGTACTAGCACAAATGAAATTGCAATACAAACAAGAAACCCCGGAAGGAATACCTTGATCCCAATAAAAAGAATATCAAGACACAGTTCTGACCCAAACCTTATAAAATAGGTTCAAACCCCATTTTTAATGAACTTTCGTGTGAGGGGGCATGCTAGAAAATATCAACCTATTCAAGGACCTCATCACCTAACAGCTTAAGCTTTTAGGTTGAATGGTTCTTTGAGATGGTATCAGAGCCATTTTAATAAGTTTCAGCACAAGGTATGAGTGGGTCTGTGCTTGTTCACTCTTCAAGCCCATTTTCAATGAGCTTTCGTGTGAGGGGGCATGCTAGAAAATATCAACCTATTCAAGGACCTCATCATCTAACAGCTTAAGCTTTTAGGTTGAATGGTTAGTTAAGACAATCTTATGTCAAACATGAGTACATTTCAAAAATCAAAGACATTAGAGAGAGACTAACCAAGCAAAATGACCAAAGAGAATGCCATGAAGGATGGATTGAACCAAGCCATCTTCATACTTTCCTCCTGTGGGTGTGGGCTGTAGATTGTGATTTGTGATCTCTAGCCTCTAGCTAATGGTTTTCGTTTCTATGTGGTGGAGTTGATGGATGGGGTAGGAGCATCGTTTATATATAAAGAAGTCCATATAAAAAATGGTAGTGTTTTATATGAAAAATATTATTGAATTTTGTAGAAAAAATTATATATCTTATCATTTATGATGTCAATAAATTCGAATTAGATATCATATCAACATGGACTCTAATGTTTCCTTTTTTTTTTTTAATTTTTTAAATCCAATTCATTTTAGAAATAAGCCATAAGAACAAACGTCTCCCACCGTTACTGCTGCAGATGTGCTCATCCCGCATTACATTATAAATGCCCTTGAGTCTCTTCAAGAGAGACGTTTAGTATACTTGTAAAAGAAAAATCCACTCCCCACACAACAACTAATCTCTTGCTCCATTTCTATTCTAATTTTCTCAACTTTCTCAATTTTGATTGTTTATTCCACCTAATATTGATGAAAAGCTTGAACTTCCAAAACCTCTCCCGTCCAGGTAGTAGGGGTTTTGGAGAATGAATTGACCAAGTCAATTGTAGACCTAGGTTCTTATTTCATATTAAAGAATGAATTTACATAAGTGGAAAGTTACAAGAAACAAAGAGGAAAGAAAGTAAAAGGAAACAAATCTTATTGTACAATATTTACAAAGCAGTTCTTTGAGGAAACTTTGAATGAATAGTAACTTCCTTAACTAGTGCGGTTCACTACAATAAAAATAGCCTAATCCGGCAGTTTAGAACCGGCGGTCTTAACGAATGCGGCTACAGTGACGCATTCCTCCAAAGACTGCCGCCTACAAAACTACTACAAATAAGAATCGGGTGGCAGTCTTTGGAAAGTCGTACAACAGTTATTTATTTTTTTTAATTTATTTATTTATTTATTTTGAACCGGACTTGAGCTGGTCTATTCATTTGAGAGAGAGAGAGAGAAATTTGAAGCCAAAAACTCTCAAAACTGCCACGCTTTCTTACTCCCCACGTTCGAAAGCAGAAAAATTTTGCGGAGAACTCCATCGAGAAGAAGGGAAAGCTCCCACTCATACCATCTTATTGATTGACTGAGGACGCAAAATCGACTGACCAAGAAATCAATGGAATACCAGCGCTGTATGACTCAAAAAAGCTCAATTCTAGCATTATTCGTTTGAGTAGGCTCCATGCATGGAGCCGTGAATCAGTCAATTAAGGGATGGTATGATTTGTCTCCAATGAAAGCTCCCATACCAGCATCGATCCTGCAAGGAAAGGGGATAAAGGAGAACAGAAGACTCACACACTAAGGAAACATGTTTTTTATTGTCCTGTTCTTTGTTGTCATTTCACTAGGTCATTTGCCAAGTGTTTTAGATCATCGTCCTGCTCTTTATTCCTTCTTTGTGCTTGATGGTTCTAGTTTTCCATGGTGGCTGGTGGCTATGTGGCACTTGTCAATGTGGATGGATCTGTGAAGGGATGGGAGATTCATCATATGAATGACCAAATCCTGCAAGAAAGTTAGTTGAAATTCCAAAAATTTCTTTACTCCCATTCGGGAATCCTATTCTCAATTTAGAAAACTGCATTTTCAAGGTTTGTTTTTGTAATAAAACCATACCAAATCTAAAACCAAATTAAGGGAGAGATATACCTGATACGGAATCCACACAAGAATGCTCCTTCCAACGTATGTGTTCACGCCCAAAGAGAGTACCAAATCCTCCCTCCACTGAAGATGACACAACTTAGGGTGAGGCAGGATCAACAGTTAGTTCTTCACCAAGAACTAGTGATTTTTCAGCAAGAATCGAATATGATAGTGAGCACAACTTCTAGATTGTTTCTTTTTGCAAGAAACAATATCAAGATCCAATCTTGATCTAATCCAAGAACTGGAGATCGAACAGGGTGGGGCGGAAAGAGCAGAAGGCAAGAGCAGTCTAACTGTGTTGTCTTCTCTCTGTATTCAACAAATGTGTCTTTGGAGGTTCGCCCTACTCTCTTATTTATAGCTTTAAAGAGAAAATTTCCTAATCCCATTAGGAGTTTCCTAATCCAAATATTTTATTTGGATTTGGACTCTTTAAGTGATGAGGATAATCCCTTATTTTATCTACAGATAAAGATCGGCCTTCCTAATCAAATTAGGAGTTCCTTTGATCCAAATTTTTATTTGATCTGGACTCTTTAAGTAGATAAGGATAATCCCTTATCTTATCTTCTGATCCAAATCCTAGATCCGCTCCTATTTAATTAGTTTAATTAACCTAGTTCGAAATAGGCTTTTAGGTCCATTAAGCTTTCAGGCTCACTTCCACTTTAATGCTGGCTGGCTTGGCTCTCTTTGTATGGCGTGAGACCCTATCATTGATCTACACATCAGCCACATGGGTTCAACCTAGCCTCTATTACAAGGCTTGGCCGAATTCACTACTGAATACAGTGAACTCCTGAGTCCATCACTATGCGCTCTTAATGGGCCCAACATTTACACTAAATGGTTATTCGGTCTAACCATCTTATGAAGGCCCAAGGACTGTGGGCAGATGCAAGATTAGCCCATCAGGTATAACCCTCAATGGTCTTACACTTAACCTCTTAGCTGATAATGATCAAACATTGCCCAACAACAGAGGACCTCTCCCTCGGCTGCAAAGTGCAGTGCTGCACTCTCTATTCACATGGATCCCGGGAATTAAAACCTTTTTGCAAACATTTTGAAACTATAAATTGCTGACAGTTTAGGTTTCCATCAGAGAGAGTGCATCCTCGATCATTCACTTTGTCCGACAAAGGGGCTGATCCTGTCACTATGATCACCCACTCAGATGAATTCTCGGACTGTCCCAAGATACCTAGGTTTTGACCCCTTCTAAAGATCTCACCCTGGTAGATGAGACAAGCCACCCCAACTAACTTTGCGGTACATCAGTGTCATTCTTGGCAGGATAAATCTCCCTAGATCTATCCAATGGCTGTGAAGATTCTGAACTAACACGAGTCTCATATGTGTTTAGTTTAAGGGTATTACACAGAAACACACCATAATAACATGAATCAAATATGTATTTTATTCATTTACAATAAATGTCATAATGTACATCATGCTGATTGGAGCTAAGGGCAAACATTGTCTAACAGCTCCCACTTGCACTTAGGTCCAATCCGCTATAAGTTGAAGTCCCATACTTTCCACGTATTTCTCAAACACTTTCTATGTCAGTGGCTTAGTCAATGGTTCTGCTACATTTTTCGCTGATGCTACCGTCTGAATCAGAACGTCCCCTCTTCCAATTATCTCCCGTAGTACATGGTACTTCCTCTCGATGTGCTTTGACTTCGAGTGGGCGCGTGGCTCCTTAGCCTGAGCAATGGCTCTAGTGTTGTCATACAATGATGGAATGTGTGATGTGCTGGATGGAACTACTCCTAACTTCTGAATGAACTTCTTCATCCATATGATTTCTTTGGCAGCGTCACTTGCGGCAATGTATTCGGCCTTGGTTATGGAATCTGTAGTGGACCCTTGTTTGATGCTTTTCCAGCTAATTGCACAGGACTCCACCGTAAAGATGTATCTAGATGTAGACTTTCTATCATCTGGATCTGACTGGAAATCAACATCGATATACCCAAGGATCTGTAGTGAATTACCATCGAATACCAGACAAAAGTCTTTTATCTTTCGAAGGTATTTCAGTATGTTTTTCATAGCAGAGGCATAGGGTACTTCCTTCATCCCTTCAATCTCCTCAGGTGTCTTGGGAGACATACCCTTGGAGAGAGTGACTCCATGCCTGAAAGGAACATTTCCTTTCTTGGAGTTCTCCATACTGTATCTTTTGACTATCTTGTCAATGTAAGTAGATTGGGATAATCCTATTATCCTCTTCGATTTGTCTCTATAGAGTCGAAGTC